GATATATGAAGCTATGAAAGCAAGAATATTTTTTTCAGAAACTCGTTTCCCTTCGGTTTTATAAGTCTATGTAATTGGCACAAAGATCCAAATTAAACATTCAGCTCGACATTCGATTTATCACTGTTGAGATGGAATGGGAAAGTTGCCACATCATTTAGCCCGACATTCGATTTATCACTGTTGTGATGGAATGTGAAGCTGTAACGATTTTTTTATGTTGAGCTGGGATGTGAAGTTGGCTCGATATTCAGCACAATAACCAGATCGACATACGTTTTCGATATACGTTTTGTCTCCTTTTGTTAGTGTCGAGCTTGTATGTGAAGCTTGCTCGACCTTTAGCACAACATTCAGCAGCACGACATACGTCTTTGTCACATTTATTTAGTCTGTCCATTTGAGAAAAATTAAAACAATTACTATCTACAGTATATTAAAAACGTATACAAATTTATATTTACCGTCGATTCTTCGTTACTTTGTAACATCGTACATACACCACGGCAACGGTTGCTATGATACCAACAAAGACTGAACCAACTATGATGCCGATAAGTGCAGCAGACGATAAACCGATGTCGTCATCATTACAGGAAACTAAAATTTGTAAAAACTTTTTAAACAAAAATCTTATAAAACCAAATAAAAAGAAAAACAACAGCAATACAAAATTTTGAAAATAGAATATATGTGTTATTAAAATAACGGCAACATTATTCGAATGATTGGAAGTAATCTAACAACATTCACCACGACAGTTCGTAACTTGTAATGTCAAATGTAAGATTAAACTAGATATTTTACTGTCAAATTTTGTAAAAGGTAAATTGAAACACACATCACACCTTTAGTCCAGCTGTATGGGTTTTTCTGGTAGTTGCACACAAAGCAGTCCGATGAAGTTTGTAGGATGGTATCTCCAGTAATACAAGATCCTCCAATGTAACAGAAATTTTCCTACATCATGTACATGAATGAAGAAAAACAGATAACTAACGTGTGTTTAAATATTTATAGAAAGGGAACTCGATGAATTTATACTAGTATTTGATAAACTACATTAATAGGAAACTGATTTTCGTGATCTGACTCTTTGATGTTATATTTGACATTCCTTTCCCATATACATTCTATATTAATTTTGACAATAAGTCAATTCTTCGACTTAAGCGGAATTTTGGCGATTTCGATTTATTGTGATTTCGTAAAGTTGAAATCGTAAAATTAAAATGTGAATTCATAAAGTTGAAATCGTGAATTCGCGCAGTTGAAATAGTAAAGTTCAAAAGTTTCAAACATTACTTCATGAAATAGTGAATTTGCAAATTCCGTATGTTGTAACCGTGAATTCGCCAAGTTTGAATTGTGAATTCACGAAGGTGAATTCGAAAATTCATGAGGTTTAAATGTCCGTAAGAACAGTTTAACTGTAAATCTGAAATTTACAGTGCAACACATATCTTGATTTTATTTATAACCAATATGACTAAAATATCTTGTTTTTGTATCCTACCTCAAGATTAATGACTACGATATCCCCGACGGTGATGACGTAATTCAAACACGTGGAATCATAAACATATACGGACTTGCTTTGTCCGAAGTTCGCTCCGTCGTTACTTATAACAAAGTCAAACACAAGTACGGAAGGTTGGGAATCCTCCTTTGAACGTTTGGAACGCTGTTGAGGTACACAGCACTCCCCGGTAAATATATCTTCATATTTGCCGACATTAGAAGACTTACCTACCTGTGTTTTTGTGCCATCGAATAACATCTAAAATATAAAAATAAGACTTCACAAATTTCTAGATTAAACAAAACAAAGAAAGGAGCAAACAAAAGCAAAGAACAAAAAGCGAAAAATGTGATGTTTGCAAATAAATCAGAAACATGTATGTAGTAAATAGAAGATTTTAAATGAGCTTAGATTAGAAACTGAATAATGAACGAGTTAAATAAATAATATTATGATATGCAATGTCGTTAAATAAATTTGGTCATGAAAAATTCAGAATACAATATTTCATTTATCAAATGCCAAAAATTTTAAGTTGAAAAGTGAACACGCTTACATCATGTTACATATAACGTAATCATTAAGGCCCTTTCAAATGTCTGTAAATACGCAAAAGACGCCACGCCAAATTATATTGCGCACGGTCATGCAATGGAATTTTTACGGGCGTTCGCAAAAGTGGCATGGATATGTGACTTATATATTTACAAGGTAGTTATCTGGGGACGTTTTTGATTCATTGTAATTCAAAGAAAAATAATCACAAACATCCAAACATTTTAACATGACAAGTAACACAAGTAAAATATATTTGTACCTCAAAAGTTGTTATTTCGTATTTGAAGCCATCAAATATGTTATCAGTTCGTATAACAAAACAATCACATTCATTTCCATCAGCTGTATCACATAAACCACCGTCATTTATGTCATAGATAATTGGTGGAATTCTTAAATCTATACTACAGTCAGGTCCACGGAAAACATCTTCACAACTGCACAGTCCTGTATTAAGACGGAAATTTATTATTTACATTTATAATTGATTTTAATTGATTAATCTTGAAATCTAATACATGTTATAATGAGATAAAAACACATTATAAAAATAACACATGTCTCTCAGAGTAATAGTGCATAATAACAACCCGAGAACTGATTTAACACTCTGACAAACATTTTATCTCTTATTATTCCGAAATAAACTATTTAATGTAAATTTTCATCGGTATGTGCATTATTACTCCGATTGATTGTTATTAGGGTGAAGAACATTACGCTTTCTTAAGTCTATTATAGTTGATTACTCGCCCCTAGAAAATATTGCAATTCATATAGAAATAACACCATGTGACGTCACAGTAGACTGTATATTAAATGTTTACATGAGGTATTATTATGATGGTCCGGTGTTATGAAATAAAAACATGTCTGTCAGGGTAATTGTGCATATAAGCAATCCTTGAACTAAAATAGATAAAATATCCAATATAACACCATGTGACGTCACATTCGAATGTATAGTAAAACAGTTTACATGAGGTATTATTATGTTGGTCCGGTATTATAATGTCTGTCAGGGTAATAGTGCATATTAGCAACCCTTGAACTGAAATAGCACCCACCACATCGGATGTTATACCATTCTAGGATTGTTAGTAAGCACTTTTCAAGTGAGTGACATGGGTAACTTTTACATTGTTACCCTACAACAATGAGTCAATCGGAATGTTATTGAACACATATTAATAACACATACTATCATTTTATATTTAATCCATATGCTGAAACAAATTAATGTTTATAAAATCAAATCTTATAAATTCAAATCAAGATTTTAGAACAAACAAAAAATAAAACAACAACAAACAAACATTGACCTGAATCGGAGCATACTCCATGTCCACTACAGTTATTTGTACATGTTTGTGACAGGAATGCATTTACTGTTTCAGAATTGTTAGCAGCAAAATCAGGACTCAGACTGATCACTGTTGATGCTATACTATTGAGAGCATCGACATGTGCTGACGCCCATACTGTACTGTTGCCATGCTATAAATGTTAAATAAGTAATTAAGTTATGTAGAAAATGGGTATAGGCTGATGCCCAAACTATATTACAAATGTTTTACTAATGCCTTCTACAAATAATAAGACCTTATTTACAACTATTTAATTGAACCGCTGAAATCTGTTGCCCCGATGTATCAGAGATGACACTTGGAATTGTTGGTACTGTAAAACAATGATACATAAACTTCTTATGTTTCTATATATAAATCAAACTTTATTATATACGAGTAAACTTACAATAATGTCATACACGCATTGCTCTAACACAATGTTTGTGTCTTCATCTCCAAGCTGGTCCGAGAATTCTTTGACGGAAGGGGCTCCAGTTATAGAGTTGTTACATATTTCACGAGCTTTATCGTCTGAAATGTCCCCTCCAGTACTTCTCTATTGGATAAAATTGGGAAATTGGTATTAGATTTCCATTTTTTCTTAATACATCATTGTAAAGGAGTTTTTGTTTCCATTTGAAAACTGTTGTGGCTTGGTGATAAAGATTTTCGTTTAATTTCATTGTTCAATAATTCTGTAAAGGTATTAAAAATGTTTTTCTAATGATCTGTAAAATATATTAAGTTAATCTAAACTAATGCGTCGTTATTAATTATTAAACGGGAGTGAGTGGCAGAAAAAAATCAAACTGCAAAGCAAACCTAAATATCTAAACATATATGTAGCATGAATAGATAACATATCAACAGTTATTTATTAATTATCTCATTATGCATAAATGTATTGTGTTACCATTGTAATCATATGAACCTACCATTTGTGCATTGAAATACATTTACATGTTGCTTAGGCAACTTACCTTTTCTCTCATGTTATTGATACTTGACATTATTTCTTTTCCAATTCTTGTGACGACATCTCGCCGTTTTCTCTTCTCTCCGCCAAACTGACATTTATTCTTAGATATCGAGTTACCGTTCGAACAAGCTGGATCCATGGATGCTCCATTGTTAACATTCCATTTCTCTAAGACGCGGCTGGCATTATGTAAGAAGTTTTCCTCATCTAGTAATCTATTTTTATAATGTGATACTTCAGACATACTAACATTTCTAATATAAATCAATGTAGAATAGATATATAAATAAATGTAGGATAAATATATAAACTAATGTATAAAAGGTAGAATAGGTATATACATTCATGTAGAATAGATATATAAATTAAAATAGAAATATAATTTAATGTAAAATAGATATATAAATTAATGTAAAATAGATATATACATGTATGTAAAAAATGAAGCAAAAATATTCAGAACATTACATCTTTCAATGAAGAATAAACTTGTAAAAACATTTTGTGCTTTCGATCTTTTAACACTTGGGAAAAATTTAATTGAGACAAGTTTTAAACAATAACAAATAGCAACTAAATTATTACTGTATACCTCCAACTTTTTATAAAGTCAGTATAACCATAATAGTCATGTGATGTGGACGATTGGGAGCCATTTCTGTGTCTAAAGTCATTGTTTCTATCTCCATCAAAATATCCACAAAGTCCGTCAGTGTTGTGGAAATCTTTGGCAGATAAGTAAATATCAATATCCATCGTCCGTCCCCAGGAGTGAAGATTTACAATGATCACAGTTCCTATTGGTGTTATTACCTACCAAACATAGACAGAGCTCATTCACATCACAAATACAAGAGCCGTACATACACCAAGCTCAGTTGCAAAATAAATAAACATAGATTTCATTGCATAATAAAAATCAAATGTACACTCAATTGCATTTCAATAAATTTGCAAATATTAAGCTCAAATTACAAAAATTAATCATGCAAAAGACTTAGAACAATTGAATCCAAATTACAGGAATAAAACATATTAACCAAATTATGTTTGCAACAAAACATACATGAAACTCATATAATTTATAGGAAAATCAAGATACATCCAGACAACAGGGATGTCATTTTTATTGATGTCATTATTACTTTTATTCTCTTAAAACATTATAAAGGTACTACTCATAGTTCTTTTTGGCTTGACGGGACTTTTAATTGTTCGGAATTAATGTTCTATTAGATGAAGGACAAAAACCAAAAACTTGTATGCACAATTTCAGATCATTCACTTATTCCGTTTACCAGAATAATTATTTCAACTCTGAAAGATGACCCAACATTTAAAATCGTTCAATGTTTTTCACTCACATTTACTGAAAATAGTATAAAAGTACGATTTCCAATGTATTTTTCTTAATGATCCTTTGCATATCTTTCCGTATTAAATGTCCAGGTTGATCTATGAAAGAAATTAAATTTTATTTGGTTTTGGACCTCATTGGAGTCCTTTAATTACATTCCGCTTTCAAAATAGTATTTTAAGTTCCTGAATGTTTCAGCAGCACATGAAGAAAAGAAACCTAAACCTTGTAACGATAATCATGGATTCGCTGAACATCAATGATTCCTCCATCATTACATTGTAAGAAGTCTAATATCGTGTAGTTGCCACATCTGTTAATTACAAAGACATCGGCCCCTGACCTGATGGCTACACCACAAGCACACACTGCTCCGCCATTATTATTACAGTATCTGGCATATTCATGAACCTTCAATATAAATTAGGTTTAACTATCAAATAATATAATTATAAGTATAAATTGATTGTTGTTTAGTCTTGTTGCAGAAAAGAAAGTATTTCGTGGAAAGCGACATTCTGTTGTACTGAATGTAAAAAAAACGACCGTTCTTCTGTAGCATTAGCAGTATTTTATGTATGGGCAATATCTCCCAGCGATATTATGACCCAGAACAAAAAGTACCACAGAATTTAACTTTTGATGTTGAAATATTTTGACTATGTTTATGTGGCCGCGTGTCAACGGTTACAATTTTTGTATTATTAGATAATAATGTTACATAGTTAATCTATTATTGGTCATATACCATGTCAAAAGTGTTTATAACGCATTAATTACACTTCTTTGATATTACAAATATCATTTTAATATGTATTGTAAATTGTTCTGCTTGTATTCAAGCACATTTTTAAATGAAAATGTACACCAGATATATTGATAATATAACATAACTAAGGTCAAATGAAAAGCGACGTTATCAATATGTAATATTTTAGTCCAACTTCACTGTTCAAGGCAATGTAAATTCAGTTTGAATTATTAGAGTCACGAATGTTTAGACAGATCAACATATTTGATTATAGATGATCAATCAAAACCTACCTCTGTCTGATATGCTTTGTTTCTATAAAACATGTGATCACCGACCAATTGTTGCCCGAAATACCTATACAAACATACAAAAAACAGTCTAAGTCTAGTGTTGATTTAGATATATACAAATTTTATAAAGCTTATCCAATTTGAATGATAAAATCCTTATGTGTACATTCAAATATTATGAGGAACTATTACGTTCCTTGTTTTTAATATGAGTCAAATGAAGTTCTTATAAAATTCATCATTGGCCAGAGCAGAATTCAACAATTAACATGAAATGGTAAAATGTTTACTTCAGATGTGATCGCACGGCGGTTATCATGGACTTTTCAATGTGACATGTTAGTGCCATTCCATGAAGGGCGACGTGTTATTCGCAATTAAAGGAATGTAAAGGTACAAAGGACGAAACTAAATAAAATGGATTTTTAAAGGGGATCAGATGTTATGAAGCATGCATATCACAGACAAGACGTCAAAATACACATTTAAAAAGCAGCCAAAATATTCTATGGGTGATTAAACACGATTCAAATTAGGAGTACCGGAAGCACTCAACGCCAAATAGAAATAACTAAAAGTACTACAGCCACTTCAATTACAAACCCTTTTATTAACAACGTGTAAATACCAATGCTATTCAGAAATCAGTCATGATAAAGGAGTCATAAGTGAGGACATTTTTTTCTTTGAAACAGAAAATTGTCTCAGTTTTTGGTCTTATGACTGATTTCAGGCTCAGGACATTCTATGAATGCAACCCTGGTATCTCATGTCACCCTATAATAAGTGAACAAGCTACACTTACCTTCCGTCGGCGGTTCGCACGTGTGGATCAGCATGCGAGTAGCATCGTTTGTATCTGTGTATTGCCGAGTGTGTCACTTCAACCCTTTATATTACATAAGAATATTGTTCATCTAAACCTTGAGTTAAATGCTTACAATCTTACAAGGAAAAACACCCATTAAACATACTTACAATAAAATAAGAAATAAAGCAAAGAAACAAATACCACAAATCACATCCATCCCTCCCCCAAAAAAACACCAAAAAAAATAAATAAATAAGTAAATAAAACAAAAAGCTGTATTGAACAAAATATTATATAGGATTGCAGCTGTTTAGGACAATAAAAGGTAAATGCAACATTGTTTCATGCACTTCCATCTGCAAATGCATAAAAGTGTACACATTTTAATACATGTACGTTATAAAGCTTAAAAAGTTATTAATACTTTTTAAAGCATTTCGAAATTAAAATGATATGATCCTTACAATTGTACTGATTTTGTTCTTACCGCAATGATTCTAATGCGCTGAAATAATTAAAGATATACAATTTGTAATAAACTATTGAACTATAATAAAGAATAGTGAAATGGATGATTGTAATTTTAAAATTTTATAATAGTGCTTCATTTTCTTTTAGAACTGGTGTACACCTTATAAGTTTTCTAAATTTCAAACCATTAATGGAGAGAAAAGGTCATTGTAAACTTTGTTACAAGCATCTTTATGTTTATGTCATCAATTCTACCTTATTTGGTTTCTTCAAATTCTGTCTGTAAACTATATAAGAAGCACCTCAACAATTGTTTTAATTATCTACCAACACTGTCAGTAAGCATCTCCATGTATAGGCTGACAATTTTATTTTAACCTCCTAATTTACCAACTCTGTCAGTGTAAACAAGCACCTCCATGTATAGGAAAACAATTTAAGTTTACCACTTTATCTACAAACTCTGTCAGGACAAATTTTGCAAACATCTCCATGTATAGCTCGACAACTTAATCTTACCTCTGTTATAACCACTTCTGTCAGTGCAGATCTTGCTAAAGTCCATGCAAACAATTTTATCTAACATCAGTAATTGTCATCAAAATCAGTTTCGTATGAATCACCTCCATATATGGGCAAACAATTTTATGTTACATTTTTATCTTCCAACTCCGTAAGTACACCTCTATGTATATGCCAACAATTTTATCAAACCTCAGTAATAACAAATTATATTAGTTTTGTATGAAGCACCTTCATGTCAAGCTAAACAATAAAATCTTACCTCAGTATTTACTACTTCTGTCAGTTCAGACTTAGTTACAAGCAACTCCATGTCAAAGTTCAATTTGTCATCGTAATCATGATCTATTGTAGTTAATCTAAATCTATACTTGATGCTGGAGTTCCAAACATCACCTACCATCAAACTCTTAATAATGTAGAAAAACACTCATGTTCAATATAGATGTATAACTACATAAAACATTAACTCTTTATATTGTAGAAATTGACATATGTTCAATATAGATATATACCTTAGTAAAATATTAACCTTTTATCCTCTACTTAATGTAGTTCAATAAAGGTACATATTTATATATACATGTACCTAAATATAAACCTTTTACGTCTAACCTTTTATGTCTCGATGATGGGAATACTGACAATAATTCATTTTTGGAAGAAAATGTAATTTATTTAAAGAAGAAATAAATATCACATCGAGATGAACTGCAATTCAGTTTTAAAAATACATTAACACATTGAGTATACAGTTTTTATCAACGAACCTTTATTTTGTGAGAAGATGTACTGTTATTATCAGCGTTCATCACGTGTATTCCAGCCTTGCATGCATCAATTTCACGGTTAACGTCTGAAATCGAAAGCGTTTCCTCGCACACTTCTTCTCCAGTATTGATGTATGTACAACCTAAAGGCACTGTCTGTTCAACTTCAACGATAGCATATCCATTCTTTGGAAGTCTTCTGGATGTGTCTGAAATCTTTACCGATCACATACATAAGATGATAATCCGCAGCTGTTTATTGTATCATAGTTTAGACTACTTTTCCTTTGAAAAAGTGTCAAAGTTAAATCATATAACCATAAAAGCACAGTGCGTTAAATGGAATGCAGCTGTCAGTCTAATATAAATAAGCAAGCTCGTTGACTGGCTATATTTTCTGGGATTTACTTATTGTGATAACAAGGAATGGGAAATGATGGAGAATCATGATCCGATGCTCTTTCATTGGTTCATTTATTGTGGGGTTTCATATTGAGACGACAGGGAAATTGATTTGATACAAAGGAAAGAAAAAACAATACCAAAACAATCGGTGACGCTCCCCCGTTCAAATCATTTAGTGTCGTGTTTCGATAATCTTTTTATTAACAATTGCATTATTCTTACCAAGTAGGTGTATCAAGAAAAAAATAATATATCGTTTTAACCATTCATATCACAATCTAAGAATACTAAATTAATTAAGCCTGGATGTGAACATCTAAATCATATATTTTAAAAGTTGTAAACAAATTATGCATTTAATGTTTATACAAATAATATCCTTAATATATTACCTTCCAACCTGCGAAAAAATTATTGCTTAATTTTTCATCTGTTGTCCCAGCTGCAATGACACCGCATTTCACCTGAAACGAAATGTTTTATCCCCGTTTTCAAAGAGACTTATAAGTTCCCAACGATAGTTTGATAAGTAAATGAATGTAACAACTATTTTTGAACTCTAAAGTCTTCAAAGTACGGTAAAACTTCTGAAAGGTAACACCCTTTAGTTGACAAAGAGTTTGGTTATTACTGAAATGTGTTTATCTAGAGAGGTCAACTTTGATTTATACAGTTTGTGTTTATTATAGTTCGATTGTGTAGAAGCTATAATCTTAAAGCCACACTTTCGAATCCGTTCCTGGAACCAACCTGAGCGAGAAAACGACTTGCCCCTGATGGGGTTTGAACTCATGCGGCTAGATTACTAGTCCGACGCGTTAACCACTCCGCCATGCCGAGGTTAAAGTGGTTATCCGTAGAGAAATTACACTGCTGTTGCAAAGATAGTTTATGAACACTTTATGATTAAATGTATTCATCTGGTTTTATTAAGGCAATATAATTATATATACATGTATTAGTACAATGTAATAATATAACTAGGATCACAGTATTTAAAGTGTGGATGAACAATACAATTGTTACTGAATCGTCCAATAAATCGCATACAAAACTTACAATAACATAAGATTATCCATCAACGGTTATAATATGTATATATATGGCAGATTTATAAACGATAAAATATTAAGCCCCTGATTTTATCTACCTCATATCCAAGTCGTAATTTATTTAAAGAATCTCCGCTTAATACAAGATCATCCGGATTAGATGAAAAACCTGTCTCACTCCATAGTGTTCCATTGATATACCTTTTTGAAAAAGATGAAGACATTATATCTGTTTTATATATATAAGCATTTTGTTCATTTACATACATAGGAAAACTTCTCCTTTGTGTCCTTATTAAACAACACAACGTACATTTTCAAAACTAAAACGTATGATGAAATGTTTTTTATAACAAATGAAATAGTAATTTACATGGAAAAAATATTTTGATTGTGCCGAGTACTACTTTGTCGTATATTAATCAGTTATATTTTAGTAAACGTTCGAGCATATATTACATAATATGTTTAGTTGTATTCAAAGAAAAAATCATAGAGCATCCGAGGTTTGAAAATGAAAAGTATAATAGAAAATTTAATAAAATACGAAATCGCAATGATTTATTTTGTAATTCAACGCATTGTATCATTGTTTTAACAACTGTTCGCCTTTCGTCTTGGAATAAAATCGTAAAAAATAAAAATAAAGCTATCCAAAGAAAAAATAAAAATAAATAAATATATAAATAAAATAAAATAAATATAAAATCTCAGACATAAAATCAAATAAACTCAAATGGTTATATAATGGTGGTTTTTACCATGTCACTTTGTATGCAGTGTCTCCAGTAATCACAAATGAACATCTGAATTGAATGTATGGTCTATATATAATTGTATCATCGCTGACTATGTCTTCTCTGTGGTTTATTTCTGGTATTACTTTCACATTGTTGTAATGAACTGACAAAATTAGTATATATTCATTATTATTGTTGTTGTTATTATCATTATTATTATTATGTCATTAAGGTTTTAATCTTGATTTTATTGTCATATATGCTTTGTAACACCGCACTTTAGGGTCTAACGCACTTTGGGTGCAACGCACTTTAGGGTCAAAATCGAGAAATTGACCACAAAGTGCGTTAATATGCTACATATCAACGCCCTTTAAGTTACAAGAGTTCTGAAGGTGTCAACTGAGTTCTGCTTAAATACTGAATACTGACTTATTTTCGATCTGCGACATTGAAATATTTGAGGTGGAGTTCAAGATGGCGGTCGATACTTTGTTTGATGCTTAAGTGATAAAAGTTTCATAAATTTTATCATTTGAAATATCTATAAATTGTGTCTATATAACAAAGAACTCACGTACATAAATTGCGAATGTATTCCTAAATTTAAAACATGTTGTGAAAAATATCCTGTGTCAGTCACTTACTTGATAACTGTTGGTGCCATATTGAGCCACATTTTAAATATGATGGGGATGAAATCAAATGCAGCTATTTTTTTCCCCAAAGAACTATAAATATACTCTATTACAATCTTCAGGTGAAATATCAAGTTTCTAGATTGGACTATAAATAGTGATTTTTATTAATACATTATTAATCTTATCAACAAACTTAAGTGTTTTTGTAAGCTCCGTACCAACCGTTCGCCAGAGGCTTTTTTTAATGGGAAATCTTACATACATCTTTAGAAAGGGCAAATATGAATTTTATAATGTTAAAATAATGGTATCAGGGAATGTAAGATGCTTGTTACTTGAATAATGTAGCGATAAATGTGAAATAATTTGTAATTAAAGTAGCAAAATGTAAACATTAGAGTATTTGACATCCATATAAAATACTAATTCACTATAACTGTACTCATTGCCAAAAAGGAACAGTTGAAAAGACCAGGTTCAGGTAATTGGCCAATGAGTAACTCTTTGGATACTATAGAAGTACACCAAAATTATTATAATAAAGTTTTTAAGAAATACAAATAAAAGCATAAAGGGCCTTTAAAACGTTATTTTTATAATCTTGGGGGATCAAAACCCACCATCCCCTCTAGACCCCCATGAGAACTTTACATTATTATAAAGTTCCGTTCTTAATGTGTGACTACTTAAACAGTTCATGATTTTTTTGAGTAGTACCTGTACGGACTACTACTTAAGGCCGCATGTTCATCTAGTCAAGTTTCTTAAATGTCACATTTAGATAAGCTAAATAAATGTCCCTTTCAACATATTTTAGGCACATGTTTTTACTGAAATCTCTTATTGAAATTTGCCAGAATTTATATTAGACTTTCATATTGTTATAAAATATGTTATTAAAAAAAACCCCGGGAAAATGATGCAATTAGCTAAAAACAATGGAGTAAATGAAAGGTGTTTTTCTTTTAGAATAAATGGAAAATGTGAGAAAAAAAATATTTTAAGCTTATTGATTGATACAAATTCTTTATTTGATGAAAGTACTTCACTAACTGATAAAATCATTTAAAATCCTTAAACACATTTTAGGCACATGTTTTTACTGAAATCTCTTATTAAGATTTGCCAGAATTTATATTAGACAAACATATTTTTATAAAATATGTAATTTAAAAAAACCCGGGAAAATGATGCATTTAGCTAAAAACAATGTAGTAAATGAAAGGTGTTTTTCTTTTAGGATAAATGGAAAATGTGAGAGAAAAAATATTTTGAGCTTATTAATTGATACAAATTCTTTATTTGATGAAAGTTCTTCACTAACTGATAAATATCATTTAAAATCCTTATTGATTTTACTATTCAGTGCGCATTATTGTGTCTATTTAATACCTTTATTTTTGTTTTCCATTAGCTTTGACTACAATATATTATTAAAAACATCATGAAAATTCATTTTTATTTATTGAATTCTGAACCCCAAGTGCGGTCGTTTGTCTGATGTAAGAAAATATATATTTACCTGTTTAACCTTTTCCCTTATATAAGCGTGTTTCGACGGCTTTTTGCCCCCCCCCTTTTTGAGGCCCCAAACAGTGAAAAAATGTCCTATTTAGACCCAAAACACTGTTTTCGTTTGAGAAATGTTGTTAAAAAAAGTGACCATTTTTTCGGCGCCCCATCCAAATAATACATCAGGGGGTTGCCAGAAGGGGGATGTGCCCCCTTCTGTTTGGGGGGTTTGAAAGGGGGCGGAGTCCCCCTCATCGCCAAGAAAATTTTGGACTTGTGAGAGGCTTAAAATGATCCCAGGTTGATCATAAGGTAACGTGTAACCAACGCTGAAAAGCCTTTGACTCTATCTCAATCCCTTGAGAAGTTGCAGCGCTTTGAAATAAATTTTGATGGAAAAAGTCGAGGCAAAAAAGTGATTTTTGGCAATTTTGAGATGTCCCCTCGTTGCCATGGTAACAGGAAATTTATGACTGAGCATGTCGTTACAAAGGCAATGGTCCAGTCAACATTTGTGCCAAGTTTGATTAGTATTGAAGCATTTTTCATAGTTTCATAGCAGTTTGAACTTGTAAGAGGAGGCTTTTCAGTGAAAATGGCCATTTTTCACAATATGCTCATGGGGGAAAGGGTTAACGCACTTTAGGGTTAAAATTGGACTCTTAAGTAAGTAACGGATTTTTGGGTCGGACCTCAAAGTGCGTTGGACCCCAAAGTGCGGTGTGACAATGCTTCCTAATGACACGGTTTGGAATAACTTACAAAGAATATCATTTCTGGTATTACCTTCACATTGCTGTAATGAACTGTCGAAATAAGTACATTGTCATGATCATTATTATGTAATTAAGGTTATAATCTTGATTTTACTGTCATATCATGTTTTATTATGACACGGTTGGGAATAACTTACAAAGAAGGAAATATGTGTTTGATAATAAAATGTGGAGACTATACATAATATTTCACTTCTATGTATGTGTAAATGGTCGGGAACTCAGATGATGGTCTCCGACGCCAAAATTCCTCATTCAAGCTCCACGGCTTTAGTGTTTTTTTTAAATTTTTTAATGAAATTTAATTTCATTATTTTTATCCTTTATTTTTCGACTGACATTTCAACGGCATTTTAAACATTTATTGAAACTTTAACTAAAATAATCATTCAAAGAACAAATCAATTATATACAATATTTGATATTTTTAATAAAAACAAAATTTACTAACATTTGAAAGTGTACGAAATGTTTTTATAATTTGAAAAGGATAACGGTCTCTTGTATGCGAGGCACAATATTGGATGTTTTATTTTATAAAGCCAAGAGTGGAAAACACGTTGCGAAAATATTCTGAGAAAAGATAGACACGAAAGCGGCTTCTTCTTTAAAACAATGTTATCTGATATAAATCGATCTTAATATGGATAAAAATTCTAAACTTGACTATATCTGATTTGAAAGAATACTTACTGAGACACAAATGACCATAAAAGGGAAAAAATGATACATCAAACTGGATTTTCCCATCACATTTTCTTGCATAAACGTAACGAGTACAATAATTTTCATACTTATATTCCAAATCAATGTAGTTATCGTAATAATCATAATCTAAGTTGCGTTTGTAAACGTAGCAAACTGCATACTTGACAGGAATGTTCTCTGGTATATCTAGAAATATTCTCTCTGAAAATAAATGACGCATTGATGTATACACTCATCAAAGTTGAATAATGCTTAAAACTGTTTAATTAACTTTTCAACGTCCCTCGGAATAAACGCTTATGTAAGCGAGTATTTGGCTTTTTAGGGCTAGCTGGATAGCTGAAAAAATGAAAGCAAAACAAAATATCAGCATGAACTTTTACGCATTTGATAACTTTACATATATACCGTTATTAACATCAACATTTAAGACTATTTATCTAATTCGATTAATTGTCAAGAATGTATGTTTGTTGTAAGATTGACCATATGAAAAATGCACCTTTCAGAAAGAAAACGTCGGGATACCAATTATTGATACCGATACATTCTTCGAAAACCTCATTAACATCGTCAAAGGCAGGTAGCACATACTGTTTCCCATTTTGATGAGCGTCTAACCATCCAAACTGGACACTAGGATATGACAAGTTTAGGAACCTATCTGTCACGTTTCCAGCAGAGTAAACAAACTCGGATGACTGGCAAGCTGAAAACAATATTAAGGTGAACTGGTTTTGGAATACACTGTCAACGATATCTGGATTTTGTCGATTATTTGTTCCCGTGTTCTCGTCCTACTGGACCTATACGAACGGATGTTTGTAATATAACCTTAGTCACTAGGTGAAGTTTATATTGTAAATAACCGCTTTAATACGGTCATATAACCTTGAATCTTTATAATGAATCTATAAAACTGTAAATTTCTTTTATTATAGAAATAAAATGAAATTACTTCATAAAAGGACGTGTATGATAAGATAATAAGAATGTCACGATTATTCAATGAAAAAAGACGTTACAAACGTGCAGTATTACACAAGCATATCATAGATGAAATATATAACTATTTGAACTCTTATTATTAAATAATTTTTACTTGATACTTACAATCCGTATATACTCTATCTGTAATAATATAATGATTGAAAAGTTTTAGAATTTTTTGACACCAGAAAATATTAACTTTTGAAATGTTATAATATATACACAAATTAAAAGAGCTTGCACCTTTTCTCATAATTTACAACATTCAATTGTCTATTAACAAAGGTAATATCAGAGTATTTAGATGTTAACAAGTTTTACATTTATATTTAACAGTAATTATGATAATAATAGGAGTTTATCATAAGATATCGTGTTTAACAATGTATTATTTTTTATAACGGAAACAAAACTCTCAAGTATACCAAAACAAACAAAAGTGTTATAGTAAAAGTTGTAGTCATGATCAAAATCATAGTAATGATCATAGTCCCATAGAAATCTGTATAGTAGGTGACCGTTACAAGTTCTCATTTCTACTGTGAAATTGCTAATGCATTCATCAGTGTGATTCCATATGCAAACTTCCGCTGTAATCACATTCTCTCCTATATCCGCTATATCCACGTGCTTCTCTGATATGTAAAAACAGATTGTATCATAGTTTAGGAACTTTTCGTTGAAAATGTGTCAAAGTTAAATCGTAAACATGCCAACATTACGTTAACCTGAATGCAGGTATAAGTTACCCGCACTCCTGAGTATGCCCATTGATTGGCTCATTTTTTTTCTAGGATTTACAAATTGTGACGACAAGGAAAGGGATAGCGATAGAAATATCATATTCAGATGATCGTTCGTTGGTTACTTTTCCCGGAGTCTTATATTGTGACAACATGGAATGTGTTTTTATTTTTGCCTATGATACAAAAGAGAAATAACATCAAAACTCGGCAATCTTATTTATACTCAAATAGCCTCGTGTTCCGATGCTCTTTCTGTTACTTAAAAAATTTTAACAGTCGAATGAATTCTTATCTCAAAATAAAAATCTAAAGTTGCTATAACAACAAAGATAAATACTGGTATATGTTAATGACTTGTACGGAATAGTATTACAAAACCTCTGATACTACAAAATGATGCATATTTCGTATTTTCATATACAAAAAAGCAACAACATGATAACAATTACCATATAACACGGCAAAATAACTGTATGGCCATTTCGAGCAATTTTTGTTCATATTTTCCCTCCAAGGAATCTGCACGCGACCTCCCCAAAATGAGCTATTGCCCCAGGCGTTTTTGTAGTTTCCAACATACCAATTATAATACGCTTCCTTGCCAATATCATACACGTATCCTAAGTTGTCACATGTTCCTCTCCCTGTAGGATTACGTAGAATTATAAAGTCATTTTATTTGATCAACAAAGGAAAAGTTAAGCTGCAGTAAGAACAAAAATGGATTTGGTACGACAGTGAGTTCATGTTCGGAAATGATAAATACATTAGCTCAAGAATTACGAAATGGATACTGTAAAGGGCGGCTGTAAAGTGAAAGTGCCTCCCTGACTCAAACGGATATCATTTGAAATAAATCATCATTTTACAAACCTGTCGTAGAAGGCTTTGAAGCAGCAGTGGTAGTCAGAAAATCTGATGTTGAATTTTGCGTTATGTATGTAGATGAAGACAAGGCTGACGTTTGGGCAGTTGATGTATGATCCGTTGTCCCATCAGTTGTTGATAAGGCTTGATATAATCCTGTAGATAGACATGAGTTTGCAGTTTATATTGTTAAACTCAACTAAGAGAGAAAAGAAAAAGATAATTATAAAGTTAAAAATAACGCTTTCAATGGTATGGCTTTTCATTCCTGTACGATTGCTTGGGATTTCATTCGCGAAAATTTGAAAATTCCTCCGCCCCGGTTTAAGCAATAGCAAGGTTAGGATAAGGGCATGATACTCCTATCAGATGCGGTTAATTCAATTTATTATTGTGCATGAATTGCTAATTTGTCAGAATATCCGAACTGTTCGCAATATCATACCAATTTTCCAAGTAATGGCAACATTAACAGAGCAATGATTGCTATTTATCAGTGAAAACAGTAATAACAAGACAATGCATTCCATCTTATATTAAACTCTCACAAATAGACCATTAAGACTGAATTCGGTCTATCATATTCCACATTTTGTAATAATAAGTCACATATTAAACTTCGATTTAGACGAACAAATAATGATTGCTATCAAGGTCGTCGCTACAAAATGAAACAATGGTTAAATATACATTAGTTATATAAGATCATGTAGGTTGTGATTGAGGTTGTTGCTACCGCACTTAAGTGAAATAATAAATATAAAACAATTTTCAAACATCATCGAAGAATATGTAAATATTAACTGCAAATATTTGTGCACATTATATGTAATCATTAAAATATAAACATTCATTTCTTATTGGAAAATTTGACTTAGACTTTATAGAAAATAAATTTCTAATTACCTTCCTTTATTTACATAAAATGTTTAATTCTTTAATATCTTTATAAGTAATGCTTTTTGGAACTTACAATATTGATAAATCTTAATTTGAGGATCATATTTATGATATAAAACCATGAAAAAATGTGTTACAGAATCTGTAAGTATCCAATGAAAAACATCACTTACCTATTTTGAAGCAGCAAACTATCAAAATCAAATATAAGCCACGAAAACTGTTCATGCTCTTTGGAGACATTCTGTCTTAATGGTCCGCTAGGTTTGGTAGCAATCTAGGCGTTCCAATCACTTTTATATCTATTGCATAATTTATTGTCAATATCGTCATCTTCTACTTCACGTAATGACATTGAAAGTTGGGTAACAAAACATAACATAAATAATAAATGTCAGAGGAACGAGACATTGTACTTATCAACCATGATTAAATGTTGATTGTCCGCTTTACAATTAAATTGACTTGACTATCTTTAAAGCCAAAACTTCTTAAAACAATATAACACATATTAAAGCTTTTCCGGATAAATGTATCCATTTTATATTACATTTGTTTCCTTTTAATATAAAAGAAGCAATTTTAGATAGTACTGTTATGAACATGATGAAAGTTTGATTACTTTGTGTTCTTAAAAAAGATCTTATTTCAGTGTAATTTACATAGAGTGCAATGATTGTGTCGTGTTGTTGCTATAAATTATCGCCTGCTATTAAACTTAGTAGTGTATTTGTGACAATATCTTGATGATAGTTGATTGTCAGCCTCTCAATGTGTACGCTAAGAAAAAACAAGAACCGGTTGAACCGTGTGATGCTCCCCGAGTAGGTTTTGGACACAGTAAAGTATGAAAAAAGGCAATAACTAAAAAATAAGGTTAGGCAGAGTTATGATTGTTTGCACTGCACTGCACTTTTTTTCAATGAGATCTTTCTACATATAAAGTTTCATGTTGATATCTCTTATAGTTATAGAATTATGTCCATGACAAAGTTCAAAGTGTAAAAATGAACAAAGGGCAATAACTAAAAAATAAGGTTAGGCAGAGTTATGATTGTTTGCACTGCACTGCACTTTTTTCAATGAGATCTATCTACCTATAAAGTTTCATGTTGATTTCTCTTATAATTTTTTGTCCATGACAAAGTTCAAAATATGAAAATGAATAAAAGGTAATAACTCCAAAATTAGGCAAGACAGAGTTATGGTTCTTTTGCACTGCACTTTTACTCAATGAGATCTATCTACCTCCAAAGTTTCATGTTGATACATCTTATTGTTTCAAAGTTATGTCCCGGATAAGAATAGCGCACGGACGACGGATGTGCCAACAATTGAGGTTTATGTGCTTTTTCTTGATCTTGATATGGCATTTTGCCCCATAAACCAGTAAAATTACCACATAAACCAGTCGGTTTATGGGATTTCCTTCTATTTTTTAACTAAAATTGTAGACGGAAGGAAGCACATAGACCATTGGATGTCATCCCAGACAGACAGACGGACGGCGAATACGTGGTCACCCTTCGGGGAGCATAAAAATCATTAAACACCTTCGCCATTTCATCAAGCATGATCAGTCCCGGAAGGAAAAAAAAAGAAATCCGTCTTTGATGCCTGTGACATGTACCACAATGTGCCGATTCAAGAATTTAATCGTAACTTAACAACGTTTATCACTCCTTAAAGGCGCTACTGCTATAAAACAACCCCTCAATGATAAATTGCTTCTGGCGACGGATATCATCGACGATACGATGAAATAGTTGCCGGGATACCCAAAAAAAACTCAATCTGTCGATTACGTTCTTCTCTGGTCTAATTTAATAGATAAGAGTTTCTTCCTAGCTGTAAAATGGCTTGGCATATAAGGAAGACATGGCATATTTTGCTGAAGACACGGTTGTATTCTTTGGATTCGCAATAACCCCCGACATAGTTCGCCTATGTGAAGATATCAAAGCGAAATTATGGACTTTCCGACTCCGAGAAATTTCACCGCTGTCAGATCGTATTTCGGTCTAGTAAATCAAGTATCGTTTGCTTTCAGCATGAGAGACAAAATGCTACCGTTCAGAGAGTTATTGAAACCAGGAACACCATTCATCTGGGATGTCAATATTAATGCACACTTTGAGGAGTCTAAAACTGCCATTATCAATGGGATTGAAGAAGGCGTATGAATCTTTGTCAAGACAAAACCTACCTGTCTCACCGCCGATTGGCCGGAGTCGCGACTCTGGCTTTTCCAGAAACATTGCTACTGTCCGATCAACCAGCCATTTTGTTGTCGCACCGATTTAAAGATAACACTTAAAAAGAAGACGGTTCACGCACGCAGCTGAGTCTCGATATGCACCAGTGGAAGCGTTGGCAGTTGTCGATGCTCATGATAAAGTAAGTACTTTTTTCTTGGGTGTGAAGATCTTGTAATCACAGTTACCCATAAACCCCTGTTTAAAATGTTCAGTGACAGATCTTTAAATGACATCGAATTCACATCTCAGAAACTTGAAAGAAAAGTTCCTTCGCTATCGAGTTCGCATGATTCATATTTCAGGGGTCTTTTATTTTGCTGCAGATGGAGCATCACATCATCCAACCGGAAAATCAGAAAAGCTATCGCTTCAAGATGATTTTGCAACAATTTACAGTGCACATTCTGTGAGACATGCTCTCCTATCTAAGTTGTCATTAACATATTCTGTTTTCAATGACAATGATGTTGATATAAGTATCACCGCTTCACTTGACTCGTTTGTCAGAGCAGTCACTTGGGACAGATTTCGCACTGCCACAAGTAGTGACAATAACATACATGAACCCATCAACCTCATAGAATGCGGAGTACCTCAGTCTCGCAAAGAATTTCTTGCACATCTTCGTGAGTATTTTCAATTCCGTGATTATCTCTACGACGTAGATGGCGTGATACTATACAAGGATCGTGTAGTAATACCTCCAGATATCTGGAAAAAAGTTCTTGCAGCTATTCATTCAGCACATTTACTTCTAGGGTATCGCGAGCGAGTCCTCTGTGTTTTGGTCAGGGATAACACTCTCATAACAGCACATTGAGCTAGCTAGATGTAAGCACACTGCAATCGTATTGCACCTTCAAATCTTAGTGCTCCCCTAATATATCCAGACTACACATTCCAATGTATTTGTGCAGATTATTTTCAACATCAAGAAGTTGATCGATACTCGAATTGGTCCATAGTTGATTGATCTTCGAATGGTGCAGTGGGTCTTATTTCTTCACTACGCTGAACAATTGTGACATTTCAGATACCGGATGAATGACATCTGACCGCGGAACTGAATTAAGGTCAACGATAGCCAGGCAATTCTTAAAGGACTGGAGAATCCATCACCGAATTCATCTGTAGCTTTCCCACACAGTTATTGCACAGCAGAAAAATGTGCCAACCCGTCAATCGTCGAATAGCCGACAACACAGGTAGTAATGGGGATCTTAACACCGAAGTATTTCATCGTACGATGATGCTCCAGTACACCAAGTTATCTCCTGCTACATGTGTATTTGGTCAAATCATTAGAGAATTCATACCCTCTGAAATCGGATAAAACCAGCGTTATCATAGAAGTTCGCCAATTTGACCATTGCGTCGTTAGAGTTGATGGCTCTGGTCACACTAAGAAATCGAACATTTATGAGACAATACATGCCTGTAAGGAATATGCCAGAAGTCCGTACATTAGGGATGATAAAATTTTGAATCAGTTGGTACTTTTTGCGAGTCCTCTGACAACTAAAGCGTCTGCGAGCAGTGCAAAAAAATCCTGACACACACACCCTCCCATCGACAACTTTACCTTC